TTTATATAAGGGACACCATTTCACTACAACATTGTGTTTAATGGGACTGGAACATCCACAGATTTTGGTATCCATGGGAGGTTCTGGAACCAAACCTCAGAAGATACCAAGGGCCCACTGTTGGCACATGGCAACTATTTCTATCTTCTAGTAAACAATACCTTTAAGTAGCTCAATATTTTAATTCAAAAGTAGGGTAAAAGAAAGTTGAAGAAGGTGAGCGAATGTAGTAAAGGGAGAGAGGCAGATAGGATAGAGAATGAAGGGAAGGAGAAGTAGAAAAGAAAGAAAGAATGTGGAAGGGTAATCAGGAGAAAGTAAGGAATAGAGGAGATGAAAGAATAAAGAGAATGAAAAATGAAGAGGAGAAAGTGAAAGAATGGAAATGGAAATGAACATAATATACAGAAGATACAGAACAACGTAATAATGTAGTGATATAATGAACTAATCCAAGATATTTTTTCAAAATATAAAAGTCTGAAAAAATGAGGATTATATTACAATGGTTGGTTATAATAAGAGATTTTTGCAACAAGGTATAAGGATACTAATATGTAATAACGAGCTAATGAATGCATGTGTATTTTAAGTTTTTAGCTAATAATTTTTTTAAAAAAAAAATTAAAAATATTTTAATTCAAAAGCAAGATAACTTGCTACTTGGAAGAACTGGTTTGTCTTAGAAATTTTAGTATATTTAAAGAGTTCAATGGAAATATTTGAATAGGATACAAGGCACATTTGTTCTTGCTCTAATAAAATGCAACTGGGGGGGAAGAATGATTTCTAATGATTATTTCAAATTCAAATGGGGAGGGGGATAGTGGATCCCATGATAAGGGAGCCCAGTGGTTAAATGCTATTACTGTAGCTGCAAGGTTGTGAGTTCGATCCCAGGCAGGGCTCCAAGGTCCACTCAGCCTTCCATCCTTTTGTAGGTTGGTAAAATGAGTACCCAGCCTGTTGGGGGCAATTGGTTTATACATTGTAAACTACTTAGGGAGTGCTAGTTCACTGATAAGCAGTATAGAAATGTACTTGCTATTGCTATATGTCGGAAACAATTTGAAAGGCACACAACAAGAAATAGCAACAAAAAAAATCGAACATTTGACAGTGGTGATTCTGCAAAACAAGAACTTAAGGAAGAAATCTCTTTCTACAGAAATTCCCTGACGGCCAGCAGTTTTCTCCTTTCAGATCACACTTCATGTCATTTTAAAATAATACCTTAAAAAAACAACAGCACTGTATTTCAATCCAATAATCCTTTGGTGAGCTGCTCCCATTAAGACTGCCATGGTTTTAATTAAAATCTGCTTGGCCACTGTTGTGGAAAAAAACCCATTTTGAATCATGATCTTGAACTACAGGGACAGAGTACTCTGCAATTTTGTGGCCTTCATCATAAAACCATGAGACGAAAGACCTTTTGTTGGAGTTTAATGCTGAATGACTAGGGTCTTTTGGACTTAACTCTGAGACAACCATGCACAGCAAGAATTAACTGCTTCTTAAGTGTTACTGGTCATGTCTACAAATAAACAGGATAGGGCTGATTACATGTGAGTATTCTGAACAAATAATTGGTGGCTTAGTAATGCAACACAACATTTACTGCAGTAAGAGACCTACAATTGCAGCTGCTAAGATTCTGCAGTGCTGGCAGGAAAATGCCAGTGACTCAGCAACCATATTTAACTATGAGACAATCCATTGCTATTATAGAACTTTTTGTGCTACAGTAAGTAATGCATACATTTCTGACCGATCCTAATGGATTTTTAATGTAATTGGGGTGGAAAGATTTTACAGTTACTCAAGTCACTTATCAGAATCACCTACAGGTTGGTCAATATTATATCAAGCAACAGAGATGTCGTCTTTCAAGTTTAAAGAACATAAGAAGAGACAAGTGGATCAGATTGAAGACTTATCTAATCTAGCATTCAGTTTACACAGTAGCCAAGAAACTGCGTGCCCTACAAGCAGGACATGAGTGCAAAAGCACCCTATGTTTTGCATGTCCAGCAACTAAATTTGCATGATCTGAGAATATCAGCTTAAGTCAGTCCTAAATTGAATGTGCCAGTCCCAACCAAAATAAAATGGCTGTGTCAATATGCAAAGGGATCTTATATCACCTTTGAGACTAAGGGCCCCTGCAGACCGGCCCAAAGGGCCAGCCTGGATGCAGAGATGAAGTGGGGCGGCCACATGCCGGCCACCCCAATCCCACAATGATGCTGTCCTGACACCACACACTGTTGTGCATGCTACACCAGAAAGGGCACTAAAGAGCCGCACACCAGCTCTTAGGGCAGCCTTTTGCTGCCCTGAAAGGAGCGGCATTTTTCCATTCTTTCACGGGCAACAAAAGGGAGGATCGGGGCCATGGCCCTGATCTGTGGCTAGCAGGGGCGGCCCAGAGCTGCCCATCTGCATAGCCCCTTACTGAGCAAAATAAGTTTGTAGCATAAGCTTTTTGGTACATTTGGCCTACATCTTCAGATGCATGCAGTGAACTAGTTAGTCTCAAAGGTGCTAAAAGATCCCCTTGCAAGAAAACAAAAGTAATGACCATGGAAGAAATACATAAATCCAACCTAGACAACAAGGAAATTGAAACAGTTAAAGAGTTCCTGTACATAGGATCAAACACTGATCAGAATGGTGACTGTCAAAAAGTCAGAAGAAGACTAGGAATGGGAAGAGCAGCCATGAAGATCCTGAAGAGTAAAGATATACAACTGAGCCCTGAAGTTAGAATTGTCCAAGCCACTGTATTCCCCATCACCATGTACAGATGTGGGAGCTGGACAGTGAAAAAAGCGGATAAGAAGAAAATCCACTCATTTAAGCTGT